GTCCTATCAATAGATGTATATATGTTTTGTCTGTTACATCTCAGAAATAATAGTATTGTAAATTCTTGGGGTGTGACAATTTCATACCTCTAATCTAAATATGTAGGTTAGGGAATGAAAAGGTTAAAAACCTTATATGGTAAAAAATCATTATATCCCATTCCTTGACACCCAATATTTAGCAGCGAGTTGCTCCTCTTCTAAGCTCATAAAGAAAATGGTGCAATTTCAATAAAACCCCACAAGCTCACATACATGAGAGGAAGAGCACACTAATTCTTGATAATGTGCAAGATATTGTATGAGGATGATTAAAATTGTAATCAAAATTTACAACACTCTTCATATTTTCACCAATCTTTGCCAAATGATTGAGAGACAAGTTATAACAAAATTCTCACCATCAAAACAAACATAAACATAATCATGATAATGTTTTATTGTATATACCTGATTGAGATCTTATTCCTAAATTTTTTCCATCAAATATCCTCTTAAATTTCAGGTATTAGAAAAAGTAAAGATATGTTTTTGTGTGCCCACTCATGGGTCTATTCTATTTTTTAGAGTTTTAGGATATCAAGAAAATTTCGAATTGCTGCAAATTAATTTCCGCTTCAAATCCATAAATTTGGAGCTAAAAAAATAATATCGATTTGATGACTCTAAATAAATTGAAATGAATGTTTTAAAAAATATACAAGAAACCAATTTTAAGGATTACAATGCTGTTATTGGTATTCACTATGGTGGTGATTGAACAGATAGACCTTTAGATTTTGGAAGAAAGAGTGGATGAGGATGCACCTTATTCCTACACAATGTAAAAGAGAAAAGTTTAAGAAAAATTGTTTCATGAATTGGGGGATGTATTTTTACATTTGCATCCCTTGAGGTATAAAGCACTCATTTAAAAGATGGATGCAAATGGGCGGTCCATCTAAAAACAGTTGAAATTATTAATCCAAATGTTTTTTAATTATCATTTTTTAATTTATAAAATTTATTTATTTATTAATATTCATGATCTCCATGTTAGAGGTTATATGTCCTTAATAATTGAGTCCAAAACTGGATCTCACAAGTAGATTTTTAAGAGGGGAATCATTTCTACATAGACCTAGAAACCATGTCCAAAGTTTAAATGAGGTCCAATTCAAATGTGACCTCATTGGGAAAATCCATCTTAGAGATAGAATTAAAACACATTTTAAGTCACTCTAATGCATTTTTGCTCTAGAATTTGATTTTTTAGCGCATAAAATATTGCACATTTGATGATCGGCGAAAACCCACTTTTGAATGGACATTAAAGGAGACAACACTTAATGGGTGCGTCCGCCGACGCACTTAAGACCCCGCCCATGGTAACGTAAAACACACACTCGTTCGTAAAGCTTCAGTTCTCAAAGTTAACAAATCCCCCGAACTTCCGACTAATTATCAATTATCGCCGATTTAATCTTGACCTAAGTACCGTTCGATTAACCCGGGGTACTAACCATGGTTAAGCCGGACCTATAAATTGCGGACTTCAAAGGGCAGCAATGTGAAAAAGAGTACGCATAAATCATTCAAGAAGAATCATCCCGGAAAACCAGAACCAAAAAATTCTGGCGAAATTCCGGTTACCTCTGCATCTACTTCCGGCATTTTCTTGCCGGATGATCCGCCGGAATCCTTTTTTTCGGAAACCCTAGCCGTTGAATTCATCTAATTAATCCTGTTCATTGATCCAATGGTTGGAAAATTGGAGATGGGTCGGAATTCTGGACAATGTTTTGGCCGGGGACAATTGATGGGGATTTATAGCGTTTCTGTTGATTAATTATTTGAGGTGAATTTTGAGGTGTTTCTGGATTGGTTTTGCGGTGTTTTTTATGTGTTGAGCGTTTAATTGGGGAAACGAGCAATGGTGGGTCGAGAGGTAGGTTGAGCTCGTCCTGAAAGTTGAGCTTTGAGTATGGAGGAGGCCAGTGTTTGCAGGGAAGATGAATCAGGTGGCCGAGAAGGTGCCAGAAAGAGTTCGTGGAACCCTAAGCAGGCAATTTTCCGGCCATATGTTGCTCAGAGTTCTTCTAAGAATTTGCAGAAGCCTGGAAACTTGCGTGTGGTGGTGAATAGACCAGTAAGTCTCTGACTCTCTCGCATCTCTCCTGCCTTACTCGTTCTCTCACCGATGCATGCAGGATCACTTATTGACCTACAATGCTCTATGCCTCTTTCATCCATCTTGTTTCTCGCGTTTCCATTGATGAAATATTACTTATGGAGGTGTATATCTTTCTATTTCTCTATCATGCATCACTTCTCTTATTTTGATCGATGAAAGGTTCATTCCTAAATCTGAAGGTTGCACTTTCTGATAGATATAACGTTTTATTGAGATGTGCAATGGACTTGAAATAGATCAAATGCCTCTGCTCTCTTGTTTACACACTCTCTCTATACCTCTGCTACCTTCTTTTCAAGTGGATGGTTTCTCTGTGATCATGCTAGATTCTAGAAGGCAGCTGAACCTCTCTCTGGTGGCCCCGTGGCTCTTTCCTGCATTCTCTTCAGTTAGTATTCAATGACAGGTTTCTTTAATGATGGTGAATTGCCCCGTAATTTGATCTTGTTCTTCCCCTATATGTTTTTCTTTAGTTATTTTTGACAATTTTATATTTAGTCAATTTTTGTGAATGTAAGTAAACTCATAAGCAAATAACAAAATTTTTCTATTAATATCTGCGCTTATCTGCCATTGCAAATAAACAATGTGTGCAAGATATTATATACTGTCTTGTGTAACCATCTGATCATGTTAATAAAGCCATCCTTAATGGGTATGACTGAATGAGTAAGTCGAATTGATCCATATCATTGTAAAGCTCATGCGGGAGCGATTTGGCCATGTACATTTTAAATTAATGGATGCTGAGAATCATGCTCTCTTCTTCGATGTCATTTTTCACCAATTCTTGATGTTCATAGTTACTTAAATGTGTATCTATGTCATTGACCCTGCATAGAGAAGAAATCCATTATTGTTTTGGAAGCCTAATTATTTAATTTTTGATATACTTTGAAAGAGGAGAAAGACCTATGAAGGAAGGAAGAGCTAGGATTTTATGAGTTTTTTTGATAAAATTTTATCATCGAAAAAGAAATAATCACTAGAAATGAGAAATAAAAAAAAGCAAAAAATATATAGATAGCCCACCGGTGCTGAGAATGCATCCCAAGCTGGGCCGAACAATAAAAAAAGGAAAAAATGTCTCTGTACACCCAAATTTTGTGAACAATATCCCATTATCCCCTCAAGTGTGAGAAATATCTGACAGCATTAATTTTTTTTAAAAAATTTATTCTGACCCCGTAAACACTTTTAACTCATTACTTTTGCTTTTTACGACCTTCTACCGTCATAAGTTAGCTAATGCCGAACACCCCTCCTCTTTTTTCCCTTAACATCATCCATCTCCTCTCATTTCCCTCTCTTTCTCTCATATGCCCTCGCTCCCTCCAACTTTTGTCTCTCTCTCTCTCTCACCCCCTCTCTCCTCTAAACGTCTCTCTCTCACTCCCCCTCTCCCCCCAAACCCTCTATGTCTCTTTCTCTCTCCTCTCCCCCCCATTTTTTGATTATTACTTCAGACCAAACCATTGCTCCCGACACTTTGAACTAGTAATTCAAAAATATGGTCCCCTGCAAATGCACTGTTATTATTTTCCTTGTCATTTCTCGCAACTTATACATGGCCCACCATCCAACAAACTCCTTGGACCATATCTCCTAGTTCGAAGCAATGTTTGGCCTCAGAAAGAATTACCAAATAGTGATATGCATATGCCAGTCAAGAGCATGTATAGATACTAGATCAAAGACGAAGCCATGGCATAAACTAGATAATAAACCCATGAAGAACTTGACACCCACTTCAAAATATCCATGGAAACAAAGCAAGAGATATAGGCAGGTAGGACTAAGATGGCGACAACGTATATGAGGACCAGGCATTGCAAATACCCAATACCCAGATGGTGGAGATTTGATACCTAAACTACTAAAAAGACTGGTTTGTCATCATATTCAGGCAAATTCACTGGAGAACTAGGTGGGTTTGCCTCAGAGATAAGGCTTTTAGAGAAGCTTACCAGTTCTAGAATGCATTTTGTAGTGAAAATATCAATTGCCCCAATTGGAACTCCTAGAAAATCAGAAAGTTTTTGAGCAGCTTTCACCACACCAATCGAATCAATCCCATAAGAAACCAGGCTATCTAGTTATGAAATCTTCTCTAATGGGATGCTTGCCTGCTTGGCCACGAGGCCAATCAAGAACTCTGTGATTTCTCTCCGGCTCTTTTGTTACTCCTCGTGGGGTTTCAATGATTCCAGAAAGCTTTGTTCTTGTCTTTTAGGTGGAAGATTGAAGTTGGCACCAATTGTGAAAGATTGAAGCATAAACTTCTTAGGGGGCTTGGGGTCAGCAACTAAGCTTAGGGGTTCATCAGTGAATTGCTTAAGACGCTCAAATCTCTTGATTTTACCAATACTGGTCTTATTGATTTTTCTAGGTTTGATCAACTTTACAGAAGATACAGTAACCCCATGCTCCTTTGCAACTCTGGTTTGAATGTGCTCCATTATTTCCCTGTTTACTGGTTTTGCTCATCACGTCTTCAATAACGACCAAACCCACTTTATCAGCCCCATTAGGAACCCTAATTACTTTGGCTTATAAAACCTCCTCTGTTACCCCAATCAGAGCACAACAATCAAGTGTATGGGCTCTGATGAAGGCTCAACTATTTTTTCCACATCAGAAAAATATGCATTTCTGCTTGGGGTTTTTGAGAGAGAGAGAGAGAGAGAGAGAGAGAGAGAGAGAGAGGAGGTAGGAGAGGAGAGTAGAGAGAGGAGAGAGTATAGTAGAGGAGGAGGTAGTAGTAGTAGTAGGTAGGTAGGGTAGGGTAGGAGGAGGAGTAGTAGTAGAGAGTAGTAGTGTAGTAG